AGCTGAAGTTAAATCTAAAGGAAATTGGGCAGAAAATTGTAAGAAACCTGTATAGTGTATGCCCAGCCTAAGTCCACCGCAAACAGCTGCTTCAGATTTTGTAGATGCAGGCGAGTTCTCACCTTCCCTTATCTTTAGGGGTCTTCAATAGTGAGTTTCTGACTCTGCTCGCTCTTCCTGCTGCTGTAGGGAAAGTCTCACTATTCCTGCTGCACTTTTTTAAGCTATAAGATATATTCAAATCTTACCAGGAGAGATTATCACATAAAAATGTCAGTATCAGGTAAGAAACTTAGGATCTAAACAATGGAGAGCCTACCGGTGATTCACCTTGCCAATCCTTTATCTGCTGAATCCTGTTAGTCTAGGGTGGATGAATTTGTCAGTTTTTTTGCAATTTTAATTAACATATTTTATTGTCATATTAATCACTCTGTATTTGCTTTTACAATGTCTTTCTCTGTCCTGTAGCAGACATTTGTATTTTCCTGCTCGTACATTCCATTCAGTGAACACTGTGTTTGTTTCTCACCCTCTTACGTTAACCTGAATAAATAGCTTTTACATTTGTTTTACTGTTAATATTAATCTCCTGCGCACTTGCCAGCCAAACGTGGTTGCTTGAACAAACTCTCTTACAAAAGTTTAAGCAGGTCAAGAGCAACTTAATGCTGCCTCTTCGTCCGTGTTCATTTTAATAGCTGTTATAACTTGTTCACAGCGGATGGACAGCCAACATATCAAAAATGTAACATATTAACAGTTGAAGGTAGTTATAGAGTTAGCTTAGGGGTGTATGCTGGTGTGGTTGCTGGACAACACCTTTCACGCGGGCGGTTAGATTTCAGCTTTTAGCTGCGATTAGAGGAACTTACTTACCGCAGCTAAATGAAGACAATGCATCCCCATGGCTCCATTCACACACTGCATTTAGCAACGTTTTCATAACATACGGTTTTATGCGTTTAGGAAAAATAAAGTTAACTGCGTCCAGGAACGATGTACCGCAGCTACCTGTACATACTCTCAGTTAATCGCAGTACAAAGAAAAAATAAGTAGAGTTCCATTAGAAAAGGCTATAATTTACTACCGCAGCTCAACTCAGCCACATGTAAACGCATGTAAACTCAGATAAACGCAATGTACAAACGCAAGCGATCTCTGTGCCAGGAGTGTTGGAATTTCGAAATAAAAAAACCTGCATTTACAAGCGGTTGACTGCCCGGAGACTGCATCAAGGTACTTTGACATTTGACATTTTTTTCAAAAGGGACATATGAAACTATACATATTCACAAGCATACACAAATGGCCACACTGTAAACTCATTTCATGCTTGAATGGTGCATTTTACAGTTAGGACCCCATGAATGTGAATAGTGTTCAGTCCACTTAGGAAGATCAGAACTCATTTGTAGCTGGAGTTTTGGTGAAGTCCCTGCACGGTAGTTATATAGTATGGTGACCACTCCTACACAGGCACCCTTAACCACTTGCCTACCGGGCACTTATACCCCCTTCCTGCCCAGGCCAATTTTCAACTTTCAGCGCTGTCGCACTTTGAATGACAATTGTGCTGTCATGCAACATTGTACCCATATGAAATTTTTTTACATTTTTTCACACAAATAGAGCTTTCTTTTGGTGGTATGTACTCGCTGCTGGGTGTTTTATTTTTTGCGCTATAAACAAAAAAAGAGCAAAAAATGTGAAAAAAATTTTTTCTTTGTTTTAATTATGAAATTTTGCAAACATGGAATTTTTCTCCTTCACTGATAAGCATTGATGAGGCTGCACTGATAGGCAGCACTGATGGGCACTGATGAGGTGGCACGGATAGGCAGCACTGATGGGCACTGATAGGCTGCACTGATGAGCTGGTACTAATGAGGCGGCAGTGATATGCAGCAATGATGAGCACTGATAGGCAGCATTGATGGGCACTAATAGGCAACACTGACTGAAGGCACTGACTGGTGGCACTGCTGGGCACTGACTGGCGCACTGCTGGGCAGCACTGCTGGGCGGCACTGATGGGCACAGGTGGGTGGCACTGATGGGCACTTGTGGGTGGCACTGCTGGGCACTTTTGGGTGGCACTACTGGGCACTTGTGGGTGGCACTGCTGGGCGACACTGCTGGGCACTGCTCATCAGTGCCGATCTGTTATCTGACAATTTCTGGTTATCGGCTGTGACAGTGTGGAGAAAGTGCAGCTGATAACCAGCAACTGTATTTACCCGGTGATCTGCTGTGTCATTGGACACAGCTGATCACGTGGTAAAAGCCTGCAGTGATTGGCCTTTTACCACATCACGTGATCAGCTGTGTCTGTAGGACACAGCAGTCACAGAGATCACCGGGTGTGTGCCACTGATGCCCTCCCAGGACTGGACAACCGCGCTGCAGCCGTCATTCAACTATAGCGCAGTTGCCAAGTGGTTAAAGTGATTCCAAAGGTTCATTTTTACTTTTTTAAAATAGCAAACATGTCATACTTACCTGCTCTGGGCAATGGTTTTGCACAGAGCAGCCCTGATCCTCCTTTTCTCAGGTCCTCTGCTGGTGCTCCTCGCTCCTCCCCCCCCGTTGAGTGTCCCCAGAGCAAGCTGGGTATACACATAGAGATTTATCATCTCTTTCCAAATGAGAGGTTACTCTAAAAATTCTGAACCAGGGAACCATGGAACCCTAGAGTTCCTCCAGAGGTTGCTAGGGGTTCTGTCTCTCAGATAAGTTTCCACTGACATTATTGATCTTTTTAACTCTCTGTAAGGGGGTAAATCTGCCCACTGACCTCAGGTGTAAGGAGCATTCTTCTCACATCAACCAAATGTACAATGAGTTGTAAATATAGTAATTTTTATCAAGGGTTCACTGAAATTGGAAGGTTATTTCAAGGTTTCCTCTGTGTTGAAAAGGTTGAGAGAAGCTGGATTACCCATTGGTTGTAACTAGACAAAAAAAAAAACTTTTTAAAATTGCTCTGCTGTAAATTTACAATGCTCCGTGTCTTTCATAATGCAAAAAAAATGCCTTCCAACCCAAAATGAGCATTGGACCCATTGGGGTTTTATTTACTAAAGCTGGAGAGTCCAAAATCAGACTCCCTTCTGCATAGAAACCAATCAGCTTCCAGGTTTCATTGCCAAAGCTTCATTGAACAAGCTGAGGTTAGAAGCTGATTTTGGACTCTCCAGCTTTAGTAAATAAACCCCATAAAGTCCATTACCCATTAAGGAACACAGCACTTATCTCCAGTACAGCACAGTATCCCCAAGGTGGTGGTGCAAGCATCAAGAGAGCTACTCTTATCTAACCTAGGCCATCAGGGACAAAACATTTATAACCTCCTGCATCCATTTCACCTAGTGCAAAAAAAAAAGCGTAAACCACATTGAAACAACTATAGAAGAAATAAAGTACACCCAATGGCCTATTTTTATTAAATATTGGAAAAATATTCTAAAAGAAAAAAAATTATATTTGGTCAATTTCATTAAAATTCTTTTTGGAAGTGTTTAAAAGATTTAGGACACAATCCATTACTTGTGTAACATCTTTATTGAGAAAAAGCATACTGTCTAATATACAGTAAAGAATCCTTCCAGGGCAAGGATTCTGGGTTTTCAAGTAAGGCAACCCAATGGTAGCTGCTCACTTGTGAACTGCCTCTCTCTAATTTCTACTTTGTACAAGGTCATGCGATAGAGGGTGTGTCTTTCCTCTTACATAGAGCTTTGTGTACAGTCTGATTCAAAATCTAAGCAGCACAGCATCAACTGACACTCTTTTTACAGCAAAGACGCAGACAATGCAGAACGCTTGTAGTCAGCAGACTCTAGAGCTCCACCTCTTAAATGCATATGATATATATATATATAATATATATATATATGTTTAAAATTTAGTCCCAGACATACTAAATAAAGAAAATGTGTACAAAACCAAAAAACTTTTCCTATAATTAGATTTCTGAAGTCACTCATCAAATGCAAAGTTTCCTCTCTATTTATATAAAAGCAGAACTAGGGTTAAAGTTAGAAAAATACACATCATCCATCCACTACAAGTACGATCTAAATGAGCTTTATATTGATAATAGGTATGCATAACAGACTTATAAATGATTCCCATAATATTCTTAAAGGCTAACTCTAGTTTTTAAAAAAAATATTTTGGAAAATGCTTCCCCAGGCATCCTTGTAGACTAAGAAATGACAGCTTTGCTAGCCTTGCATCCTTACTGATGTACTGTGTGGCAGGTGTGCAGTGTGTACAGCTGCTGACGTGTGCACCGCCATCCTATGTCTGGAGGCTGTCCCAAGATACAGACAAGTTGGCAGGATCTGCCTTCTGCTGGCCAGCATTCTCTATGAGTCAACCAAGGCAGCTTGGCTGCCACCCACTTGTGCCAAAGGACAGTTTTGTGAACACCTTACAGAGTCGCAGTGGGAGCTACATGATCTATATACGTTCACTTAACCATAGTTGATGCAACTTAGTAGCAATGTCATAAATCTAGACCTATTTTAGGTTCAATAATGGTTGTCCTTTTTTGACAAAAGAAGTAAGGGCAGCACTTGTAAAGTGTGCGCAGTTTTTTGGAAGCACATACAATTTATTGTACACAGCTGCCAACTTCCTACTGTTTTACAAAGTAAATTATTGGTTGGTCATCAGTCTGCATGGGCTTCTATAAATATCATAGATTGTTCTCAATTAAGTTTAACAGACTAATGAACTTGTGCATTTGTGTTTTTTAATAACTTTCTGTTAGGGCCAGTACACACCATGTGTTTGTCCCCATGCATTTCCAGCTTGTCTGATTTTGGAACCCATTCATTTGAATAGGCTGCAAAACATACTACAATACTAAAAAAAAGTATTCACTTCTTTTTCAGAATGCACTACACAAAATCACATGGTAGGTACCATGCGATTTGGTGCCTGCAAACCTGCTGCATTTGCAAGATACATTTGGGGTGCAATTAACAATTAATTGGCACCTGCATGCTCTCTCAATGGCTGTGTATTCACTTGCAGTGTGGGAAATGTGCACTGACCATTTGGAAACTTGGGCACTGCCCGAGGGCCCGGGGTCAGTAGGGGGCCCCATGAGATGCCCCTGGTACCTTTTTCATAGGCTTTTTTGAGTTTGGGCAAGGACACAGGGGCCTCATGATCCCCTATTGCCCAGGGGCCCCATGAGTTGTCAGTCTGCCCCTGGCACTGAACATGCTTTCCCACTCTGTGTTGTGGTGGCCGGCCCTCAAAAGATTTTCTATTTTGTTTTTAACTAAAGAGCATTGGAGCGAGACAACATGAATATCCCCCCCCCCCCCCAAACAGAACTCTGACTATCCTAAGCTGGCCGTACATGTACTTATTGGGTAAAAAACAGCAGTAGCCAATGTGTTTCAGCCAGCCCCACTGCAAGGAAGAATGTCTAGGTTTCCTAAAGTTCAGTTTTATTACAATCCTATAACTGACTGAAGTTAGATCTCTGAGTCCAGCACGTTCTGCTCTTGACTATTGTATTCTGACAGCCAACATTCGCTGCTTTCAGAATACCCAAACAGTAACTGCAGCTGATTGGCTGCAGTCACTGTTTGGCTGACCTTTTTTTCAACCGGCTTCTTCAGTTTCTCAATTGAAGTTGGACAAGCCAGGTGAAGTCAGCAGGGCCCCGAAGGCACAAGTTTCAACCAATTGAAAGTGGAGTTCCATCCAAAAGGGGAAAAATTCTGCTGTAGAGATTGATCCCCCACTCCCATTTAAGGATTGGCACTTTTGGGGAGGGGGGGGGGGGGGGGGGGGTACCCAAATTTGATTTGACAGGTACCCGCTCCCACTTCCACTGCGATCACCTAGGCGATCGGAAACAGAAGTTGTCCTCTTACCCTCCTTCCCTGAAGTCTTGTGGGACATGTGACAGGTCCCAGAAGATGAGGGGGCCATTCAGGAAGCGCAGCGCTACTCGCGCATGCGCAGTGGGTACCCGGCTGTGAAGCCGCAAACTGTCAGCCGGGTGCGCACACTGAAGATGCTGGTGCCTGGAATACAGGATGGCCGGTGAAATGGGCTGCGGCGGGGGCAACGCAGGATCTTAGGACAGGTAAGTGGCTGTTTTTTAAAAGTCAGCAGCTACAGTTTTTGTAGCTGCTGACTTTTATTTGCACTCAAGCGGAGTGGAACTCCGCTTGAAGGAAATTTGCAGCTATTCAAGTGGTAAACAGCCAGCTTTAAGGTGAAATACTAGTGAAAATGTCTGGAAAGGGAAGTCCAACTTGATTCTTTCTCCTGGTGACCATTGCTGCAAATACTATGCCTAAATGTAAGAGAGGTTATTAGGAACCTCCTTGCCTTACACCAACTGAGATAACTGCCTCTCTGACAGACAACAGAAGGATCACGCCAATTTTTTCATGCACCTGCTAATGCAGTTTGATTAGTTGGCATGTTCATTGCTGCTATTGGCACACAGGGCAGATGGCTGTAATGGGTTTGCCATCTGTCAACAAGGTCCTTGAAATTCTGAGGACTACCTTCATAACTTCCATTGTAGTGACTTAAGGCAGGTATGTTGAGCATTTATGTGCATTGCCCTAAGGAAGTTCATTCAAGGGACCACAATGGAAGGAAAATGGTATTTGCCCCATTTTTGCTGGCACACCACTTGGTAGTACATCACTATGTGTTGTGATGTGCTGTAACACAGGTTGTTTTAGTTTGGATGCCATATAAAATAAATGGCATTGCAACACATAGGTGTGATGCCAGCCTGTCATGAGAAAAATAAAGGGGCTAGTGTTGCTGACAAATTTTCTTCTGAATATACTAGTTGTCTTGTTGTTATGACCCTCAGGCTGACTTGTGAGTTGCTAACATGGATCAAGTGCCCATATTAGAAGTTCTGACTTGCTGCATACTAGTTCTGTATCTGTAACAATCAATGTATTGAAACCAGAATGCTATAGAAGCTTAGGGAATAATAAGGCACTGCAAGCGCGTTCCACGTTTCCAGGAATGTGGGCAGAAACGCGTATTTCTGCCTATGCTTCTGCTATGCTCAGATGTGAACAGGGCCTTAGAGAATATGGGGAATACAACTGCTGCCCTCTCTTTTAGAAAATGCTATTTGCGTGGTAGACAGCATGGATTCATGAAAGAAAGAAGTTGTCAAACAAATCTGATTTCTTTTTATGAGTAGGTGAGCAAAACCTTGGACAGAGGGGTGGCGGTGGACGTGGTATACTTGGATTTTGCAAAAGCGTTTGACACAGTTCCCCACACATGGCTAATGTGTAAGGTAAAGTCTACAGGCTTGGAAAAATCTGTATGTAAATGGATAGAAAACTGGCTAAAAGATCGTATTCAGAGAGTGGTTAATGATTCATACTCTGAATGGTCACAGGTTGTCAGTGATGTACCCCAAGGTTCAGTGTTGGGTCCCTTACTTTTTAATATATTTATAAACGATATAGGGTCTGGGATTAAAAATCCCATTTCAGTCTTTGCAAATGACACCAAGCTGTGCAGTGGAATAACGTCCTTACAGGATGTCTCCAATTTACAAGCCGACCTCAATGCACTGTGTAATTGGGCAACTATGTGGCAAATGAGGTTTAATGTTGATAAATGTAAGGTTCTGCACTTAGGGGCTAAGAATATGCACGCATCATACATACTAGGGGGAGTACAACTGGGGGAATCAATGGTGGAGAAGGATCTGGGGTTCTGGTAGATCACAAGCTTAATAATGGCATGCAATGCCAAGCTGCAGTTTCTAAAACAAGCAAAATCCTCTGTTGTATTAATAGAGGTATAGACTCCAGAGAGAGCGATATCATTTTACCCCTGTACAAATCATTAGTAAAACCTCATCTGGAATATGCAGTTCAGTTTTGGGCACCAATTCACAAAAAGAACATTGGGGAACTGGAGAAAGTACAGAGAAGGGCAACCAAACTGATTAGAGGCATGGCGGAGATCAGCTATGAGGAAAGATTAGAGGAACTGAATTTATTCTCTCTTGAGAAGAGGAGATTAAGGGGGGATATGATCAACATGTATAAATCCATCATTGGTTCATATAGTGAACTCGGTGTAGAGCTATTCACCCTGAGGTCATCACAGAGGACAAGTGGGCACACTTTATGTATGGAGGAAAAGAAATTTAATCTCCAAATATGGAAAGGTTTCTTCACAGTAAGAGCTGTGAAAATGTGGAATAGACTCCCTCAAGAGTTGGTTCTGGCCAGCTCAGTGAATTGCTTTAAACAAGGGCTGAATTATTTCTTGGATACACAGAATATAACTGGTTACTAACATTTAAAGGTAACGTTGATCCAGGGAATATCCGATTGCCTCTCGGGGGATCAGGAAGGAATTTTTTTCCCTGCAGGAGCAAATTTGATCACGGTTTGCTGGGTTTTTTGCCTTCCTCTGGATCAACTGTGGGTATAGGATTATAACATTTTTTTTTTTTTTTGGTTGAACTGGATGGACTTTTAACTTTTTTCAACCAGACTAACTATGTAGCTATGTAACATGTAGATCTAATGGCTTTAATACATCCTGAGGCACAGACCTGGAACAAGTATGCCATTCAGACTTAACTTCTGACCTTCAAATCTGCATGCATGTTCCAGCTCAGTAAAGCTGACCATACACCATGCAATCTTGTTGTACAATCCCTCAGTCAGCGACAACCTCCCTTGCTTATCTTCCTTTAGTTATTCTGCAGTGGAGAATGGAGGGAGTGGAGAGAGGGGGAGAAAGCTGTGCACTCAGATTGGTAGGGGTGCTGTCCATCAGACTCATGCTGACCCCACTCACTTGCCTAGCAGCTCACAATGTCTCAGCGAGTGGTGGATAGTGGCGGGGACTAGCACAGAGAAGCCACCTGGGCATGTATGTGAGTGTGCACCCCCCTTCCAAGTAATGCAATACCGCAACAGTTGTCAATGCAAAATAAGTGTGCTGATCTAATGTGGTGTCATTCATTTTGAAGGTCACCTCAACGCACCTTCCGATGGACATGCATTGTAGTGCAAAGCGAAGCAATGCAATAAAGTGAGGTGCCAAAACTTGGCATACATGAAGGCACCATTTTTTACATGCATGTTAGTGTGTTGTTGTTTGTTGCACTGCAAAGCATATTAGTTAGAAGGTGCATTGGGGTGCTATTAAGAATGATCACCACCACATCACACCAGCACACTTAACGTGCATTGCAATAAAGTGCATGGTGGGGGTTGGGGGGGGGACCCTGTCAGATTGGTTGTCCCATGATTTCTTTTGGCATATAGGCGGGTCCCAAAATGTGAGTCACCGCCATGTTTTCCCACCAGAGACCTCCTAACACAAAGGCTGACTAAGGCCTAACACACAGGCTACTGGCAGTCTACAGATCACACGCTGCCGCACAAGTGCATGTAGAGTATGTTTGAAAATGTCCTGTACACCCACTCACCATGCTTTTGGTCACCTATGAAAATGACACTCCTCTAGCTGGGGACACTTCTGGTGCCAGGCCGACGTCTTCATGTGGCTCTATGATAGAGCTCTTTCTCCCCTACCACCACCATATCCTAGTCCAACCAGGTTTGTACAGAGTTGGTTCCCATGTATCTTATCTCCCAAAGTGTGTTCTGCAAGAGATGCACAGCATAGCTTTAGCTTAATGGGGAGCTATATCGCTTTACAACATTGGAGGTACCCAGGATCCACTCCATTCACTTGAAGCAACTCATTTTTATTGAGGTAGTTGTTAGAACAGTTCAAATAAATTATGTCTCTCCATCCAGCACATAACAGTTTCTCTCTATGGTAGTGTACCTTCAGTGCCCGGTAATAGGAAAGTCCATCCTAGTGGTAGCAAAGAAAGAACCAAGTCCCATTATTATCTCTCTTGGCTCTGTTCCTCCCATCAGCCAACCCAAACTTCCCCAAGCTAAGCTCCACATCAGGTTTATATAAGATCCTGCCAGGAAGGATATGAAATCATTCCATTTCCTAGAGGAATTTAAAGATGGAATTAATTCCTGTCTTCAGGCAGCTGCTTGGGCTGCTGGGGATGTTGTAGATCACTGTAGTAGTCCATTCTACATATAATGAAAGCCGTGATCTTACAGGTTCTGGATTGATGACCAACTTCCCCCCTGCACATTGAATACAGGGGGTGCTCGTTTATCACCTATGCCATTCATAAAACACATTGTACTTTTTTCAATGAACGCAAGTCATTTTCCAATTG